CCTGTTTGTGCTATAAAACAAAAATAAGAGTGCAGACAGTGATTATGATTTGTTAGATACTAATATTGCATCAATACTTGGAGATAACTTGATCCATTTTGATACTATAACCTTCTACTACTGAGAAAAGCACAGCTAGGTTTGCAATTTCATCCAGCTCACAGATATCCTAATTCACTGCTGTGATCCATGCTTACTGTCCATGCAGGCTATCTTAGCATACAAGCAATCCAAGCTAATTTGGGTTAAGCTTGTCCGTTATGGAAGAGTGCATTCTGGAGACGAGGCAAGTGTTTTACACCACTGAAAGAGACACAGAGCACATAAGCAAACCAGCTGCAGTTACCTACACTCTTAACCCTGTGGCACCATAGTTAACACCCCAAGTCCCAGAGATCTTTGATATCCACTAAGGATTCAGCATCTCAACTTGAAACACTGACTACAGGCAGCCACTGAGCCGCAGTTCCCCAAATGCCACACTGAGACTCAGCTTTAGAATCAGACTACAACCATGTGCTGAATCACATTGGTCCTTTGAAGCGCGTTTTCCGCTTAATACTTAACCCTTCTTCAGCTGGAAGGCCAGGAAGGTGAGTACTGAACGGAGTGTCTGCAATACATTCACCCGTGTAATGGGCAGAATGCCTTTTAAACACAGGGCTTACTTCTGGCTATTGAGAACGTCAGAGGTCTTGTAGCATCATGATTCACTTTCAACTCCTGCCAACAAGAATCTAGCCTCTTAAGCTCACAGCACTTTCTAGCCCCAATTAAGTCTTTAAACACTAGCTATTGGAGATGCACAACTTACTGCATTTCTGGAACGTCCAAAATCAGCTTGCTTTAACTAAAGAATCGGTGTGTGAAAATAGGATGCACCACCGTGTGCATGGTGTGTCCACACCCACCCGCTGTGTGTTGCTTGTCTCTTCTCATTTCAAAAGAGAAGGATGCAGCAGATCCAGAGAAGATACTGATGGGGATAACTAGCACGATCAGAGATAGGGAATGGATTCCATACAGTAAACAAACAGTTTAAGACAGAAGCTGAGGTGCAAGGTGACAGAGCCTATAAAAATAAAGGCAAGAGAAGGCGTTCAGCTCCTGTGCTCTTCCAATAGAGGATCTAGCGAACATAAAACGAAAGTAAGCAGCAAGTCCAAAACAAGAGAAAGTGCTTCTATGTTTGTAATTACGCTATGGAATGGCACACTGTAAGACAGGGCTGATGCTAAAAGTCTATGTGAATACAGAAGGCCATTATACAAGTTCTTGAGGAAAGGAGGAAGACAAGGAATCCATCAGGGGCTTTATTCTACAGATGGTCAGGAAGTCCCTGCTCTGAGGGAGCCTCTGATCCAAGAAAATGGTGGAGGCAGACTGCACGTGAGTTAGCATTACTGTATTTTTCCTGTGTTCTTATGTTACCCCAAAGGTACCCGTCTGAGGGCCAGAAGGATCTGTTGCCTGAGCACATATAGCAATTCTTATGTACAAATCTCCAGACCCTCTCGATACCAGCCCCATTTTACAGACTGGCAGAAAAATATATAAAAATGAAGCAATAAGTGGTTAAATGATTTATTTATGGTCATATTACAAGTCTATGAACAAGCTGGGAACAGAAACACTCCCAAACTCCAGTGCCAATTTCCCCAGAAGGAGGGGCAGTACGAGAATGCAGGAAAGCTATTACTTAATTTCATTCTTTTCTGCAAGAAAGAGATTTGTAGGGATCAAGCTATTGAGACTTAATTTAAGCCAGGTGTATGGAT